TCGGGGTACAATATCGCAGTGTCAAACACAACCAGGTGAAGGGTTTGCCAACGAACTGAACCTGACTGGACTCGCAGGAAACGCCAGTGAGGCCGGTGGCCATTACTCCCGACAAAGTGCGGGATGAACCGAAGATCGTTTTTTGTGCAGAAAAGTACCTTTTGAGCCGCAAACCATATCATTCTCTCAAACGTTGTCCATTTTTTGGTTCCTCAAAAAACGGAAAACAACGAAAACCAAAGACAACCCTCAACAAAAACAAGCTACAGCCAGGTTTGCGACCCATCAGCTCAGTGACTACCGTATTGTGTCAAGGCTGTAGAGTGAACTCAATACTCACTTCGACAGAGAGAGCAACAGAGCATTGGACTCAGAAGACACAATGAGTATCCCCTTAGAACCAAGCTTTCGCAGAAGTGAGTCGCACCCAGGAAATCCATTCTAGCAAGAGAACTTTCTTGAACGACAGGGGCACCATGATGTGCAAGATATGCCAAGTGTTTTTTTTGGCCGTTTCAGGCCTATCAACTCCCAGCCAATGCAGCATCAGCACCTGAGCAACAGGGGCCATTTCAGACATGGAGCAATGGCGATCCCTGAAGCAAAGCGGTATACCCGCGCTCTTAGTCTCCTGACGTTCTTTGTTTGTCATGGTACTTGATGGAAGGTGTGTTAGCGAACTTGTGTTTGAGAAGATTTGCAGTTCGAGCGATGTGGAATCTGGGAACATTTGGGAACCATTCTCCAGCGCTGTACTGAAGCCACTGGCTACGATTTATTTCACTGAGGCTGTCCCTGCGCTGCTATGGTTTGCCCTCTGCTTCACCACAATGCAGGAAACATGCTCAGTGGCTCCATTGAAAGCACCCATATATACATAAAATAAAATGTATAATATATATATATATACATAATACATAATATATATATACATACATACATAATACATAATATATATATACATAATACATAATATATATATATACATAATACATAATATATATATACATACATACATAATACATAATATATATATATATACATACATACATAATACATAATATATATATACATAATACATAATATATATATACATACATACATACATACATAATACATAATATATATATACATAATACATAATATATATATACACATAATACATAATATATATATATTATATGACTCCCACCAATACAGTGTCATAGGGCCATACATTCCAACACATACACATACACAACACATCCAAGTGGTTCCGACTGCCAGCTCTGTTTCAACTTGGGTCACCTAATTTGGGCCAACTGGAATCTAGGCAAAATGCAGATGTTCGTGCAGCATTGGGTTGGCAGCAGTTTGGTTCAATATGATAAATGTAGATTTGTATCTCAGATGGACAGGAAGGAGATTGGACATTGCCAACCTATTGACATTTGACAACTTGTCACAGGTGGAGTTTGTTCCTCTCAGGTCCAACTGCTTTGCCTTTTGACCCCTGTTGGTTTAACTTTCTGCCTTGAGGCGTTATGTCTGGTGCTGGTAGCTTTCGGCATGACCAAGGACCAAACCCCTCAGCTGTACTCAGCCAGATTTGAACCAGATTTAGATATAGACCTTGGTTCCAGGCATGTTCCGCCATGTTCCGCCATGAAATTGCCAATCTTTTCACACATTCTCCAATTTTGGAGTGCTTTGGCAATCGGTTTGGAGAATGTTCATACAGAGGGTAACATGCACTGCCCCCTAGTCATTGGCTCTTGGGGCGTTTTGTGGAGTGACACCCCCAGCCACATAAACACACACAGAGACCTCTTATCCGTATTGTCACGACTTTGGCATCATCTTCCCTTTCCTGCAAACTTTGCTAAGTGCAGCAGCAGGAGTACACTGAAGCAACCAGATTCTTGATCAGCGTTCTTCACAGGTTTTGGCCCCAGAACAGCCACTGCAGGGGCAGAGTGGAGATCACGTCTGATGCAAGGCCCTTCCTGTACTTGATGCAGTACTCCAACAGCAGGACTGTGACATCTTGGGTGGAGCTGTTGAAGCATCACGTGGCCATCTGGGCTACCTCGCTCCACAAGGATTTATGTCTACTCTGCCAAGGGTGATGTCAAGGCCGGCAATGGTGCCCCTGCTTGGGCACGGCATTTTGGGGGATTTTGGCTTGAGTATTGTGAAGATCAAGAACATTTTGATGGGAACATGTTGTGCTTACCTACAGGACCTACCGTCAACAAGAACTGACCTGGCTGCGGAAACTCTCTGCTTTTCATACGGCAGATGGGGAATGCATCATTCACGTTCATGTTTTATTGGTCTGGGGCAAACTCGTGTACCACCAAAGTTGGTTGGTCAATGCCAAAAAGTGTGGCCCCCTGGGTCTTACATGGTTTCTCTGAAATCAGGGTACTCCACTTCATCCATGGTTCGAACCCTCACTTCCCCCCTAAATGGCCGTATATTAGGGCATCCTGGACAAACCCATCAAAACCCATCAACCATAGTTATCCCCGTTCCTGTTGATGAATTCCATCAACAACTCACCATTTTGGATGATAAAATCCCCAATTCAAGAATGCACCACATACCCATACATTCCCCATCTTTGCGGTCGCCATATTTCACAATCTCCCCCAACATATCTCATAGTGTCCCTATTTTGGATGGTCAAAAAACGTTGAGGCAGAGGTCCTGAACACCATCGGCTTTGATCAGGACACCATCTGGGGGCTTGTGTCTAGCACTTGGATCATGGAGACATGGAGACCTGGCCATCTGGACGAAGTGGTTTGTCACCAAATATCGACATGTATGAATGTCTTGTTGTAAATTAAATAAACATGTATCCATTAGATCCACCACATGCACATCGTAAATCGTTTTTCAGTGCTGTTGCCCATCGGACTGGGCGTATGCCTCACTGGCCGCCAGTCCGTGATCTTCTCAAATCATCGGGGAGATCTTGACTGGTTGATCGGCCTGATGGTGGGGCGCGTGGTGAAAACAGTGTCCCTGAACATGTACAGGAGACCCAGGAGACCATAGCCTAATAGGAGACTCCAATGAATTTGGGGCTTGCCGCCATTGTTTCCTGTAGATTTTCCTTGGACAACCAATTGGACAACCAATTGGACAACCAATCCATTGTCAGTGGATATTCTGCTGTGACAGGTGGAGGACAATGGCGGAGGACTAGGCATGGGCTGCAGATCTGGTGTTGCAGTGCCAGCAACGACTTCACTTATTTCATTTCATCCTCTACACCACCCCTTGGAAAATTGGCATGGATATTCAATATCGATTAGCAAGGTGCTTCAAGGGATATGTTTGTTTCAACGTGCGTTTATGTTTGTACATGTTCATGGGCTGTTTACATATGCATGAAATAAACCTCTCAAAAGTGGAAAGTCTGATAAAGACTGGTGCAACACGATGCGTGAGAAACCACAGACCTGTCCACTGCAGATTTGTTGCCACGTCTAAGACTTCCGGGCTTTTCATCAAACCTGTATGAATCCAATCTTTCGGAGAGTCTTCCTTGGGAGGTACTGCTGTGATGCCTCCAAAACAGATCGACTGCCCAAGAGTGATGGGACACCAAAACAAGTGCCAGGTTGCTGCAAAGCCATCGTGAAGCGAGAGCTGATTTTTCTTCCACTCTTTGGCTTCTCCTGGTGCCCTGGTTCAGCAGCAAGAGAATCCGAATCCTCAGACGGGAATGCAAGCTACAGCAAAGATACGGAGAGACCCTCTGGTAATTTAACATAGCTATGGAAAATCACCATTTTTAATGGGTAAATCCACTATAAATGGCAATTTTCAATAGCTATGTTAGTTTACCAGAGGGTACTGTATCTTTTTCGTTCAGTTGCAAGGGTTTGCATCTGACGCTCAGGTGGGCAGCAGATTTCATTTGCATCAACAGGTGACCGCTGTTTTCGTGCACTTTTGGGAGCTGCCATGGCTATGGGTGGATCCATTAAAAACCAGTGGTTTCTCGGATTTTCTCGGTATATAGTTCGTTTTTTCGTTGAAAACCCAGCCCTTCCAATTTTGTTTTTATGCAACCATTTTATGCGATCCCAAATGATCATCGAATCTATGATTTTATCTGCTGTTCCAGCCCATTGTGGCCAGGAACTGGCAAACAGATCGGCGTCGATTGGACGCGGGCTGCTCTGCTCAAAAATAGAGAGGGGTTCCTTGTTTTGATCTCCACCTCTGAATCATTTGAGCATTGTTCAACCCCCCTGTTGGTTGTTTATTATATGACATATGGGATTATACTACCCAATATATGGGAGATGATCATAGTCCATTGTGGGAATTTTCGTGTGCATTACTATTGTGACAGCCTCACAAATTAAGCTCCGAAGGCGCTGTGAGAGCTGAGGATTCAAACGACAACACGACTACAGCCGATGGGTCTGGCACTAAAAGGCCTGTTTTTTCCGGCAATCTATGCCAATTTGAATGATTTGAATGGGGCAAACATTGGAACATCTTCTGTTTTACATCGATTTTTTTTTGTTTAAAACCACTTGATGTTGGGGTAGCCTCCAAAAATTGCCTCCCTATGGGGCTATGATGGCTATGCTGAGGCCATCCCATACACATTGACCATCTTTCCAGAGGGTACTCGTCTCACCGAAGCCAAGCTGGTGGACAGTCAGGAGAGGCAGCCACGCCATGCCCCCAATGGTTGCCATGGATCCAGGGGGATCCACTGGGGAAATGATGATAAACCATATGACTAGATATGACTAGATATGACTATATTATATATATATGACTAATATGACTATGAATATGAATGATATTTTGAACATGTTGAATACTTGGCGAAATGTGAAGAATCTGTTTGGAAATACCAAACAGAGTATGCTCGTGTCCGACCTTGAACAGAAAGTTTCCATCGCGAGTTTGCTGTTGGAGCATCAACTCCTGGCCACCATCTGTCCTGTTCCGTAGAATACTGTCATGATGACTATTGCTGGTTTCCAAAGAACAAGGGCGAACGTTGGTGCTCTGTCTTGCAGAAGAGGTACTATAGCCACCCACGCGAGACTGTTTACATACATTTTTGGTGGGATTTGGCTTTGCAGTGACAAATCACCTGAGATATCCTGGATTTTCTCATCGCTGCCAGTACAGGAGTATTGTAAATCCAAAGGCTTGCCGGTGCTCGCGGCTCAGTGCAGACCGGTCAGCAGGAAATTCGTCGATGAGCTCGTCCAAGTGCTTTGAGGTTGAACCACTCATTGTGTCCCCGTGCGAAGGGTCTTTGGCAGCTTAGCTTCACATGAGCTACTGATGTTGCCTCTGCAGACATGCTTCTGCATATTTTGGTCGATCAACCCAATGTGATACATCCCACAAGTTTAGGTTTTCTTCCTGGTGAACATTTGAGGGCCCATACTGGAGCCCCATTCCATCCCATGGTCCCATGGTCATTTTCAGTGAGCCGAGGAGTGCAATCAACAGCATGAGACTTGAGAATGTGTGGGCACCCGGCCTCAACTCAAAAAATATTCCCATGGCGGATGGCAGATGGGATCTCAGCGGATGCTGTGAGGTGTATGATATCACCGTTGTGGAAGGTGCAGACAGCAAGAAGGCATTCAGCGTCGCAGATGGATCACATTTGGGGTTGGACCAACCAATGGTTCTGTTTTGCTAAAATGGATGAGGGCAGCAGAACCAATGATTGGCCAAGCTGTGGATAATTCTTCAACACATATTTTTGCTTGGCGATCTCAGGGATGATGACCCCCATACATTCCATTCCATTCCATTCCATTCCATTCCACTCCATTCGCTTCCATACCATACCCACTACATCCCCATTATATCACGTTTCTTGACCTTCCATGCAGGCCAATGTGCTAACGTTGGCTCAGGGCACCCCTGCAGAGTTCCACGTTCGGAGACCTGAGTCATTCAGACACTGGGAAACATGTGGTAATGTGAGAAACCCAATAATCAATCATCATAATATACATATATATATAAATAAATGGGTGGTATATATATACATAGGCATATTATATATTAACATTATATATTAACATTATATATTATATACCATCCCCAAATGTATACCATCCCCAAATGGTGAGTTTATCATGGGAATTGCCATTTTTGGAGGAAACATGCTTGTGACCTCTTGGATTTTAGGGCCTACGATTGGGGCATCGTTGCCAAGGTATTCATCGAAAAGATTTCTCCGAATGACATCCCGAAGAATGAGGCCATGGTCCCTTGAAGTCCCAGTTCTTTACGGGTCCCCTTTGAAACGCCAGGAAAAGTTCAGTGCCTGGCTAATGGAACGATGGCAAGGCAAAGATGAACGGATAGCAAGGCACCACGGGTTCTGTTCTCTGAGCATCATGAATATTCTGGGGACTTAAACAATTAAACAGGGAGATTGCACTAAAAGTAAGTTGAACATTGGCCAATCAAGAGTTCTCATGGTGGAATTATTCTCCAGACATTTGTTCGTCTACAAGAATTATAGATTCCTATGTGCGGTGCCCATTGCATTAAAAGACCAGACTCTGTAGACTGTAGACTCCTATGTTTTCTCCAGGCAAACATTCTTGCATATTTTTGCGATCTTGGTGTGGCAGGGCTTAGAATCTAATAGAATCTAATAGATTCCAAACGGATCTATGTAGCATCCACTTTCTGCCTTTCCTATTAAAGACAACAGCATCATGTGGCGTCAGGTTTCAGAGGGACGGTCAATTTATAGATGCCACTGGTGCAGCAGCAGATAGGCGCCACAACTCGTCTTGGGGGAATCAGAGACCGGGTTTCATGGTGATGGATTCAATTTTTGCATTTTTTTTGCTGGTGAACATGGATGAAAGATTCATGATCTTGAAAGGGTATGTGAAGCTGGATCAGGGTTTCAACCTGATTAATCCTGATTAGATTCATTGCAAACCATGGCCAAATACTCGTAATGGGGTCCCTTCAACTAGCACTTTGGCCGGTTTGTTGTCTTTGGTTTGGGACCCCATTTGGGTTTGCCCAAGAAATGGGCTATGCTCACGAAGTCCACTGATTCATAAGCAGAAACCGATTTCCCTGTTGTTAATGGCCATAAACATCGCGGCGCGCCGTTGACCGGCCGGCGATTTAACATAAATCGCAGTGGCGCTGCAGTAATTTTTTGATTCAATAAGTTTCATTTGCTTCAAAAGAAGGTTCGCGTTTTAGTCACGTTTGTATATAACCCTTACAGGTAAATTATGCTCAAAAACGAGTTGGGTTCGCCCTGGCCTTTTTTCACAGCTTCGACAACTGAATCCCAGTTTTTTCAAAAAAAAACATAGCATCAAGGGCTTGCTGGTTGGAAGTTGCATGGGAAAGTCAAGGGCGTAACATCAAAAGCATGTTGGAAATTTCATGAAGAAGGCAAGAGCGCAGCATTCAGAGCGTGTTGAAACATGTAGGTGAATTCCTCATATTTGGAACAACCCAGAACAAGAAAACATGTTGTTGGTTATATAACGTGTGTATATATATATATATTTATACATATGATAGTATATATTATATATATATGTATACATACAGTAGATATTTATCTCATTCTAACCCACGATATCCCCATCTTATCCCCATGTTGTTCCCGAAATTATGGTCCGTGTGGCCCCGTTTCAGACGCTCCCTTCAGACCGCCCTCAGGCAGCTTCTTTCGGTGGACTCCAGATGCGCACAGACAACATACGGTGCTCGTAATGGAAAGCTGCTTGGGGATATTAAACCACATCAACCATACTGTCCTAAGTCTTCAAGTGAACCAATCACTGTAGTTAGATTTGGAAAAAGGGAGATAAGAACAACATGGGGATCGTGTATTTAGCATGGTTAACCAACCATCAATCCGGGACTTGCCCATCACGAAGAAGTATTTCCAGGCTGTTGTTCACATCGCAACATGAGGACCATTCTGGTCGCAGAACATTGACCAATTCCCATGTGAGTAAACGGTGATGTTTTCTTTTGCTGTCTCTAAAAAAAAGACTTGTTGTCATCAACCACCGAAGTCACAGTAGGAGTGGATCTCAGGCTGCTTCGAAAGCCGCGACAGGATGACTTTATCAGTTGACATTCACCCTAACCTCAGAAAGAAAAACACATGAAAACCTTGATTAAACACCATCAATGAATCTAAAAACAAACAAAACCGCTTTGTTGTGCTACATTTTATCCTTGGTTTCGTCCAAGTCCAGGTGAGTCCATTTCAAAAAACCAGCTGGCGTTGGTCATGACACACCCTTGATACATTGTGGATTGTCGAAATCCATTATTGTCGGAATCCCCTTGATTGTGCCCTTTCTATTGTATCATATTGTATAAATTTGTACACCATATCATGTTTGCAGCAAGTATCCAAGTCAAATTCCTCCATATTTAGACCGCTCAGGTGCATTACTGTGGTGGATCCTGAGCAGCCTCGTTTTCTTTCGCTACTGCGTGATGCATGGCTACTTTCGCCTACTTGTTGGGACGGCCTTAGGCCGCTCAGGACCTGTTGATGGTTACTGCGTTTTTTTTCGAATTTGGGACAGTGTATGCCACCCATTTCAGGTAAAGTTGGGATGGTTTATCTGGGCTTATCTATTTTTAATGTTTAGCACATTACTTTGACCCAGTTGATGGAGAGATTCTCGCAAGGCACTCTCCTTTTGGTGGCGCTCATTGGGGTTGTCATCCACCAGGTGAGTTCGGAGAAGCCTGGATGTGTCAGAAAATGGGGAAAAAACTGGGGATGAATCTGGGGATTTTGGAGTACCCTATTTTCAGACACTATGGTGTAGCATCCAGCTATTTGTCTTTCTGTCTATCCATCTATCTGACTATCTGACTGTAATTATCTATCTGTTTGTCTATCTATCCATATATCTAACCTATCCAATCATCTATGATCTAACCTATCTAATCTACCTAATCTATTGCATTTATCGCATCTATCTAATCTATTTAATCTATGTAATCTATCTAATCTATTTAATCTATCCAGTCTATCGCATCTATCTATCTATCTATCTATCTATCTATCTATCTATATATATATCTAACCGATCAAATCTATATCTAATCTATATCTGATCTATATCTAATCTATGTCGAATCTTTGTCTAATCTATTTCTAATTTTTATCCAATCTATATTGAATCTACATCTAATTTATATCTCCGCTACCTCCTCTATCTCTATCTCCTCTATCTCCTCTGTCTCCTCTATCTTCCATATCTCCTCTATATTCTCTACCTTCTCTACCTTCTCTGTCTCCTCTATCTCCCCAATCTATTCCATCTATTCTATCTAATCTATCTATTCCATCTTTTGTATCTATTCTAGTCTATTCCATTCTATTCTATTCTAATTCTATTCTAATTCTAATTCTAATTCTACTCTATTCTACTCTATTCTATTCTATTCTTTTCTGTTCCTATTCAATCCTATTCTATTCTAATTCTAATCCTAATTCTACTCTATTCTATTCTTTTCCGTTCCTATTCTATTCTATTCTTTTCTGTTTCTATTCTATTCTAATTCTATTCTAATCTATTCTATTCTAATTCTATTCTATTCTATTCTAATTCTATTCTAATTCTATTCTATTTCTATTCTATTCTATTCTTTCCTTTTCTGTTCCTGTTCTATTCTATTCTATCTGTTCTGTTCTATTCTTTTGGATTCTATTCTATGCTATTCTATTCTTGTCTATTCTCTTCTATTCTAATCTGGCCCATTTTATTCTATTCTATTCTGTTCTATTTTATTCTATTCTATTCTGTTCTATTCTAGTCTTTCTGTTCTGTTCTATTCATTCTGTTCTATTCTATTCTCTCCTATCCTATTCTATGCTATCCTATCCTATTCTATCCTATTCCATTCTAGCCTATTCTATTCTTTTCTATACTATACTATTCTATATCCCTTCTATTCTATTCTATTCTATCCTTATTCCTATTCCTACTCCTATTCCTATTCCTATTCCTATTCTATCCTATCCTATGTATCTATCTATCTATTCTAATCTAATCTAATCTAATCTATCCTTCTATCCTTCTATCCTTCTATCCTTCCATCCTTCCATCCTTCTATCCTTCTATCCTTCTATCCTTCTATCCTTCTATCTATCTATCCTTCTATCTATCTATCCTTCTATCTATCTATCCTTCTATCTATCTATCCTTCTATCTATCTATCTATCCTTCTATCTATCTATCTATCTGTCTGTCTGTCTGTCTATCTATCTATCTATCTATCCTATCTATCCTATCTATCCTATCTATCCTATCTATCCTATCTATCCTATCTATCCTATCTATCCTATCTATCCTATCTATCCTATCTATCCTATCTATCCTATCTATCCTATCTATCCTATCTATCCTATCTATCCTATCTATCCTTCTATCCTATCTATCCTTCTATCCTATCTATCCTATCTATCCTATCTATCCTATCTATCCTATCTATCCTATCTATCCTATCTATCCTATCTATCCTATCTATCCTATCTATCATATCTATCATATCTATCCTATCTATCCTATCTATCCTATCTATCCTATCTATCCTATCTATCCTATCTATCCTATCTATCCTATCTATCCTATCTATCCTATCTATCATATCTATCATATCTATCATATCTATCATATCTATCATATCTATCATATCTATCATATCTATCATATCTATCATATCTATCATATCTATCATATCTATCATATCTATCATATCTATCATAGCTATCATAGCTATCATAGCTATCATAGCTATCATAGCTATCATAGCTATCATAGCTATCATATCTATCATAGCTATCATATCTATCATATCTATCATATCTATCATATCTATCATATCTATCATATCTATCATATCTATCATATCTATCATATCTATCATATCTATCATATCCATCATATCCATCATATCCATCATATCTATCATATCTATCATATCTATCATATCTATCATATCTATCATATATATCATATCTATCATATCTATCATATCTATCATATCTATCTATCTATCTAATCTAATCTTATCTAATCTTATCTAATCTTATCTTATCCTATCTTATCCTATCTTATCCTATCTTATCCTATCTTATCCTATCTTATCCTATCTTATCCTATCTTATCCTATCTTATCCTATCTAATCCTATCTAATCCTATCTAATCCTATCTAATCCTATCTAATCCTATCTTATCCTATCTTATCCTATCTTATCCTATCTAATCCTATCTAATCCTATCTAATCCTATCTAATCCTATCTAATCCTATCTAATCCTATCTAATCCTAGCTAATCCTATCTAATCCTATCTAATCCTATCTAATCCTATCTAATCCTATCTAATCCTATCTAATCCTACCTAATCCTATCTAATCCTATCTAATCCGATCTAATCCGATCTAATCCGATCTAATCCGATCTAATCCGATCTAATCCGATCTAATCCGATCTAATCCGATCTAATCCTATCTAATCCTATCTAATCCTATCTAATCCTATCTAATCCTATCTAATCCTATCTAATCCTATCTAATCCTATCTAATCCTATCTAATCCTCTCTAATCCTATCTAATCCTATCTAATCCTATCTAATCCTATCTAATCCTATCTAATCCTATCTAATCCTATCTAATCCTATCTAATCCTATCTAATCCTATCTATCTATCTATCTATCTATCTTGTGTGTTTTGGAGGTATATGGATGTCATCCGATTTTTTCTAAATATGTCATTTGTGTCGGGCATGGGAATCCACCTGTTGCCTGGGCGGTACGACCATGCTGAAAGTGGCTCGATTGATGCTTTTATGCACCCAGCAGGCATTTGTTGCTTTTATCCTCGTGTTTGTGGCTCAAGCGATTGCTTGCGACTTCATGTGCGGAAGACGTGGTGTTGCCGCTGATTCGGAATGACGGCAGCACCTGACCAAGGTGTCTTTGCATCAACTGCCGCGGTAGCAGCACAGCCAAAGGAGGACTTGTTGAGGCTGACTTACACCACTACCACTGGCTCGAGCTACTTGGGAAGGCAGATTGACAAGAACGACCGGACCGAAAGCTTCCAAGAGATCTTTGCAGTCGGACAGCGCCGTACCAAATATATGGGAGTTTCCTTGCGTTTGGCTCCATTGCTGGACCGTTCAAGCTGTAACTACACCATGGACTTTGCCAAGAAACCTCTTGGTGACAACATTCAAAACAGCCACATGGCCAAGGTCTTCAAAAATGGAGCAGGACCCCCCAAAAACTTGCCCAACCTGCCAGCCGGCCAAAGCACCTATGGTGAGGAGATTTGTCTTCCACTCACTGTGGAGGAACGCTTGAGAGCACGCATGGGTCCAGTTGGAAAGCTCTCAGCCACTCTTGGTCCAAATGGTGCGAGCTCAGTTTATCGCACCTCTCTGGCTCATGACATCTATCAAGCCCATCCCATGATCGGATCTGCATCAGATCTGAGGCCCAAGGATTGCCTACAAAGAATCCATACAGCACCAGCTCCTTTGACCTCCACCTACAGCAGCGACTTCAAGGCATACACCACCCGTAGAGATCGGGTGAGGAAGAAGGGCTGGACTTGATTCACAACGAGCCACTGGACCAAAGAGACGAGTGGAGCACCGAAATGATGCCCTGCGATGACTCCAGATAGACGTTCCGCTACAAAAGAACATCAATATAATATGATATAATATAATATAATGTATATATATATATAGAGATAGATACATATTATGTATTTATGTATAGATACACACATACATCCCATGGTCTGTGGTCATATTGTTGCTTTCGTCCTTCTTTTCTGAATATGTTGATGCTTACATCTGCGTTTTCATTGTTCCTGAGTTCGGACCATGCCGCCGTTGGCGGTCTTTTTGCCGACTCTTCGATTTGAGTCGGAGGGCGAGGGCACATTTTTTTCTCATGGGCCTCCTGAGGAGGTACCCAAAGATCACGGATGCCAAAGATTAGAGGCCCAGTTGAAACCTTCAAGAGGTTCAACTCACGCAGAAAAAAGACCGGTGCTCGGCAGCTGGTGGCACAAGCTGACTTGGCAATCACCGGGTTCTTTTGTTGGGAGGTAGCTGCCAGCTTTGACTTTGAGAGCTCCTTGATTCAGTAGGACTCAGTAGGAAGTCATGCCCAGTGGCTAGTCTCTCAAAACCTTAGCTAGACAAAATGCGCTCTGAACTCAACTCCGATCATATACTCATCATGTTCTAGCCACTAGGATTCTAGCACCTGAGGTGCATTTCACTCACTCCGTCCAAATCTCAGTTGGATAGAACAAGAAGGTTGCATGATTCCATATGATTCCCCATGACATGCAGCTTGCTCAGCTTCATAGCTGCAAACCACCGCACTGCTAGCACTGCTAAGGCGCAAGGCAAAAAGACGAAATAATTCAGGAGCTGCACGGCAGATGGCTTTGGATTCTTGAGACAATTCAGTGAATGGACATCGCAGTGAGACAGCCCGCTTGAATTGTTTCCCTATCGACTTCAGGGGCAGGTTTCTTATGGTTTCTTGGGTTTCTTGCTGCAGTTCCAGTGTGCAAACTATAGCCGCAGCACTGAGGGGTGCCCTGTGATGATTTGCTTCACAGGCAACAGCAGCTTTGCAGCGAACCCACTGGCAGTGCTCGCGTTTTCATTGGGACTTGGATGTGACGATCCCTGATTGTCAACGAAGAGCTAAGACGAGGGCTTCAACCGATCCAACAAGACGAGTCATACCATTGCCAAGCAACTGTCTACGCATGTGTATATGATGTGTAACACACACACACATATATATATATAATATACTGACGCGCACATTACAAATATAGTGGTGTACACTGTACACACACTACATACATACACTGAACAATGTGCAAGTACATGTATATATATATAAATGAATGTAAATGTGTATGCACATGTATATTTATGTGTATTTAGTATATGTACACATGAAAATAATATACTACAAACATAGATGCTTCTGTTCTGTTGCGTTCCATGGCAGGAAAGTGTCACATCCAGCGTCGCAGGAGCTTCAAAGCCGACAAGCTGCAGATCCATTTTGCAGAAGCAAGGATCCCTTTTTCTCAAGTTCGCCACATTCATTAAGATTCACTAGGTTGCTGAGTCTAAATGCCAAAGAACTCCCAGATACTCCCAGTATCCTTTCGATCATGTTTTAGCTCGATTGCTTTGAGACCTGAGGGTAAGTTTGTCTTTGCTATCGCAAATGCAACATCTAAAGGATTGCAGAAGTGAGACTAAAATATTTGGCACCGAAGACTTTGCATCAAAAGGATCCCTGCACACATTTGTTTTGCGCGGCCAAGATCCCAGTACGTATGATTCACTGTGGAGAAAATTCAGAAGCTGTTACATGACCTTGTTTGGAGCTGGGTTTTGCTGCCATTTGGCCAACTAGGCACCCCAGACCCCGTGCGGGCCGACAGGGTGCATTTTTGTGAGCATGAGGTATTCTGGCAACCCTAGAGCATTGGTAGAGCATATTGATTCTGATCGAACAGGAAGTGATTCAGTTCGGATCCCTTTTTTGGTTTCGGGTGAGTCGTGCATTGTTCCTTGAGCCCCCAGACTGATCGAAATGGGTGAATAGCGAGTTGCTGTCATCGCAGATATCTATGGATGGTGATGATCAGGTTGACCCAGGATTGCCAAGACACTTTTAGAGGCACAGCTCATGCCATGAAAAGAGACAGCGGCAGCGTAATGGTTTGGGAGTTCAACGCCATCCGCAATCGGAGTCAGTCGTGTTTTTATGCCTTTCTCTCCTTGGCTTTCAAGGGCCTTTAGTGCTTGACAGGGAAGGGTGAACACTTGGATGCTTTCCTTCACTGTCAATCATGTGAGTCAGGTTCTTCAGCTCTAAAGAAAAGACAGACAAAACCAATACACAAAGAGTGACGCTGACAGCCGTGCTATTGGAATCTTGGAAGACCTGGGTATGGGTAAAATTCTAAGCCAGGGGACCACAAATTCTGGTCAGTCTTGTTCGAAGACCCATTTTGCTGTACATACCCGTATGGCGAGGACAGAAGTAGTGTAGAGATGTGTCGAGAACATATCATTTGAAGGCAGGCTTACTTACACTGCAACAAGCAGATTGGGTTGGGAGTTGTTGCCACGCCGATCACGATACTGCATTCCCTTTTGAGCCTTCGATTGCGTGGTACCGAAAGTGCTGTGCTGAGTTTGCCGCGGTGGCTTGGCCCAATTGCAAAGCGCTGTGCGACCACCCATGGCCGCAACGTTTGACAAAAACATCTGCCAGCCCAAAGCAGATCCACGCAGTTTGAGATAGAGCATTCAGAACCAGCAAAAACTGATCCGGATATCAGAATTGGCCAAGCATTTTGAACGTTGGATCAACGGCCCGGCTCCTTTCCTCGTTTTGGGAGGGCTGGACCTGTCACAAAGTGGACAGTTCCAACCATGCGGCTTCTGTTGGCTTAGCTGCCGTGTGCAGGTGCCGGTTCTGTTCCTGTGGGGGCGAGGTTGTTGGTAGTGTTTACCAAACAATTGGTTAAACATAGGGTAAATTGGGGATAAGCAGCAACATGCTAAACCAATTGGGTTGCCATCTCATTTTTTTGGCTATGATTTTAGAAGTTTCGAACAGCCCCAAATGGTAAATTGTGGTCAACTAGGGTAAATTGGAAACGGTTTATGATTGGAAATGTACAGTACTTTTGGAATAAATCTGCTCCTAATGTTTTGCGTCCAGTTGGCTAACCAAGAAAAATAAGGCGTTATATTTGTTCAGGTAGTTGAATGTGCATCTCAAGTACATACTGGAAAATATAGCTGGGGAATGCTTGGGATATCCCGTATCCATCTAATGTATTTAGGAGCCAGTTTCTAAGTGGGATTCCCACTTGGTGTAATTGTCACGCAGGAGATAGAATATTCTCCAGATTCATGAGGTGAGGCCCCCTAGATAGCGAAGTTACTTTATAATTATAGGGGATATAACTGATATAACCATAGTTCATGGATGTTAATGGGGTTTAATAAGCCAATTTATAAATAAATTAAAAAATATATATAATATGGTGGCCCTTTCCAAATCCTTGATGATTTGGTGGAATTTCATGGTCCTCGCACAGCTTGTTGTTTGCTGCGAATCCGCTGCTATCCAACAACCAGCTATTCCTGACATTCCTCGAAGCTCTAATTTAGATATTTTCCTTTCTGCCTACATCATACAATTTGGCTTCTCATTTCCTAGTCTGGAGCCTTGACATGTAGTTTCTGGTTCGAAGCACTCTCTCAATTCGCTTAAGCAAATTATCCACATTCACATGTTTCGCAATGCATTCGGCTGTTGCAGGCATGGCCAAGTGGACATGGAAATCGCTACAGTGACTACCACCACCAGGACATAGCACGGTTGTTGAAATACACTTCTGATCTAGCGTGATTTCGTGTCGATTTTTCACTTGTCGGGTCACTCCCGTATTTTATCTCTGCAATGAGTCTCCAAGGGCCTTGATTGTCTATGATTGTCTTATTTACACCCCCTAGAGGTCTGAAAAGCAATTAGTTTGACAATGGGCCGCAGGCGTCATGGTCAGCTGGAGATGGACACAGCAGTGGAATGTCGTCGACATACGATGATGGGTCTTCCAGCATGAGATCTGGCACAGATAACATGTCAGTTTCCGCCTGCCATGGTGGATCTTCTGGTAGTTATGGACGCAGCTGTGACGATGAGTCGATATACCATGATGGATCCTTAAGAATCTGGCATCAAGCCTGGCTATGACGATACATGCATCTATCATGCTGGATACTCCTCACGCTATGATGGGGATGGCTCCATCTATCACCACGGATCCTCAAGCTATGATGGATCTGGAATACGTCCTGACGATGATGGGTCCAGAGAGTCGAGCTACGATGATGGGTCTTCCTCATCGAGCGATCACGAATCTGGATCTCATTGTGACTATGATGGATCACACTACGATGATGGGTCCGCGTCATATGATGAATCTGGGATACATTATCACTATATATCACTATGATGATGGGCCACACTATCACTATGATGGCTCCAGTTCCTACGAGGACTGGGTGTGGAAAGCTGTCCATGCTCCGCTTGACATGACCTCTTAGCTGGCCATGTGCAGGATGAATCTTCAGGAACTTCATACGACCATGGTGATTCGGATGGTTCGGAACGGGGCCATCTATCAGGACACTGCTGTTGGGCTGATCCGTGGTGGGAACCTTGAAGCTAGAGGGGTTGCAGACTAAGGACAAGGCAATGCACCCGCTTTCCAAGTGGTTTCACTTTTCTATCCAGATGGAGACGCAGTACAAGACATTTTCTGGTGTTGTGGCAGCCTGTAGTCCTGACATCAAAGTGTTGGTTATGCCAAGCAACCCGGAAATCGCCCGAGCATTGTGAATCAGTCCAGTTGAAGAAACAAATCCACTGCTTTGCAGACTCTTCTGAAGGTGCATCGTCAGTTTGAACTTTCAGCTGAGCATGTCATGACCGGATCGTCGACGTTGCTGCGGGTTCAAGCTCGAAGTAGGAAGAGCGCTTGGAAGTGATTCTCAATTTGGAAAGCACTTCCCTGAAAACCTCCTGAAACATATTGACTCAAATACATCCAAATTTCCGCACAGCCCCTGAGACAGGCCTCCGTACTTTGCATATCTCATGGATTCATCAAGAAGGAAACCACCATGAAACCACCTTCAGTACGTTCGCAAATTTTGTGTTTCCCCATCTTTCCTTCGAAGCATGGCCCATGCAATCCTTCTACCAAGCCGAGAGTCTTGGTGAAGGCACTGGTGACCAACCAACTGATGGGAGCAAGTCCTCCAGCTCTTGGTATGGCAGCAACTTGCCAGTGTACACTGGGGGGCCAAATTGGCTCAAGGTGAAAACAGTTTTTTCGCGGTGAGGTCCATCCCTCAAAGAGTAAACATGTGCTGCCAGCATAGCTTTGGGGATGTGAAGTACTCTCATCAACTTCCGTTTTTTCTACCCATTTTAGGTAGAAAATGGGTTTTGGACTCAGACCAAAGCGGTATCTTCTCTGCTGGGGATGAGATAAGTATGCGTGACCTGCAACTAGAGCGTTTTGATGGGCCGCAACCCGGGGGAGTTTTTCTCAGCAATGGCAAATATGGCATAATAATTTCCATCAGCATGTCTCAATCACAGCCACGAGTAGTAATCATGAACACATATACATTATATATATATAATATTTTCTAAACATGAATCCAGATTCAGATATCGCCCAATCCCAAATCTGAGGCTTTCGACCAAAAGCTCGGCAGTTGCCACCCATCTTCTCCTCGCTGTCAGGGCGTGGTTCTGAGGCCGTAAGCATCGACAAAAGGCCGGGCCAATGGGGTCTGCATGACACGTCTCTGGTTGCCGTTATTGTTATATGTTATATATTGTTATTTATATGCCATGACTACTTTGATTGACTAGTATTACTAAACTACTAGGATTATATATATATATATACATAAATATGAATAAATGTATAATATATATATATATATGTATGTATGTATATACCCACAGCCCCTGGGGTTCGCCGTCGGTAAACAGCGTACTTTTGTAGTCGCATCCTGATGTGCAGTAAGGTCGAGGTGTTCGGTTTACCTGTGTTTTGTGGTGCGAAATAGATGTGTGCGCGTTGGTCTTGCATCGCAAGGTGTTTTTTTAAATGTCTTTTGGTCCCGAATTAGTTTTTGTTTTTTTTGTTTTTGGTCTGTGATGACGCTACGTAACTGACGTCTTGGGGTTGGGGGGGTTGGGGTGGGCTAATAACGTCCAACACGCTCTTGATGCTACGCGGTGAACTTTCATGGCCACTCGCGACTGTTTCAAACCCGACATGCAATACTGGGTGCACAACCCCTGAGCGAAAAAAAAAGAGATGATTTGAATTTGGAAGAGATTCTGGGATTATTCTGTCACTTCATTTCACAGTCGCTTTTCGCCCAGTATTTTCAAGATGGATTTTGGGTTTGAAGATGTTTGAAGACACAGATGCGACTGGTCTCACGACATGCACTTCGAAAATGATTTGAAGAACTTTTTCCTGCCTCCATTCACTTCATTTCACGTCGTCCAGCGACGGCGAAGGTCAGGTCCTGTGCGTATATATATATATATATACATATTATAATTGTATATGATATATATATATATAACATAATTATATATATAATATACATCATTATCATATATTTTGGTAATCTTTCAACATTTTGTGTAAAGGTCAGTCTTGGTTGAAGCTCAGTGGCCAATTTTGTCTGCGGAGACACTCCACAAGAGTATATATATATACATATTATATGTATTGGTATATATGGGGTTCCCATCAATGGGGGTACTCCAAAACGGATTGTTTATAATGGAAACTCCTATTAATTTGGGGGTACCACTATTTTAGGAAAAACTCACACACACACATATATATACACATACATAATATTTGCTGTATCATACTCTGATATCTTCCTGGTGGGAACTATTGGGTCCTGAAGTTGGATGCTTCAGAAACTTGGTTCATTCGGCATATACCGTCATATACCACACAAAGTGAGATGCTCGTGCTTTCCATGTTTCCACTTTGCCAAAGGATCCGTGATGCGAACTCTCTCTCAGAGCTACTCAGCATCATCAAGGAGCAGAGGGTTGAGACATGACATCATGATGCATGACCATGAAGAAGTGTCATCGCATTTGATGCTGAATGCTTAAATACTTGACAAACACACACACACACTTGCTCAGAACAACACCTGATGATGGCCATGTCTAGGAAATGCACCCCATGGACTAGTGAAGTTCATCAAATGGGCGTGCCATTTGACTGGATGTTGCACGTGTTTTCTTTCTTCATCTCTATTTGATACGCGCCTTGTTTCAGGACCGCGTCGAAACGTTCGACGAGGGTAGTCTGGTCATTGCTTTATGTACTGGCGCCAAAATGGTGGATGACAGGCAGGATATTTTGGTTGCGATTCAAGAATCATAGCAGGGAAACCGATGCACAACTGCCAAAAGAAAGGCACCGGAAGTTTTGACCCCTGCAAGTACCAACATGATGATACTCTCACTTGAAATGGAGTACGTTCCCGGGCATGATCCAGGATAATTTGCGATTTTTTGGCTAACGTGAGTGCCATAGTTTTTTTTCCAGAATTGGCAGATATTGGCAGAAGGTTGAGACTCCTCCAAAGGCTTTCGATTTCCAATCCTTTTTGCAGTGGTCTCGAGCTATGAGTTCTTTTGAGGATACCACCTAGATTTTAAAGCTGGATGTGACCTTCAATAAGATTATATAATATTATATATATATAATAATATATAATAATTATATATAATTATACAATATATATATATAATCAATCTAACTTAGGGGCTTCACCTCTTACCCGGTCTTACCCCAATGCAAGGTCCTTTTCTTCTTTGTCATCCAATCATACTTGGCTGCTGCTGCATGATCGACTTTGTGAAGCTATCCCGCGGCTGGACATTTGGCAAATCAATGGTGCTCCAAACGGCCGTCACGCCTTGGTCGTTGAATATGCGGCCGTGTTCTGGGGTCACTGGCGTTCAGGCTAAGAAGGATCAGCAGCAGGAGGAGAAGTAGTGGAAGAAGAATCCGAGAGTTTGCAGTTCAAAATTCATATTACTTTTTTGAACTATTTCCTTGACCTTAAATTTGGTCCACCTCCAACAGAAGCATAGAGGAAGCTCCCGGCTGCTGATCGCTAAGTTGCACCAAATATGATACATCTCTTGTGAATTAACTGAATCTCCTGATGCCAGGGTCCCTGACATTCTTCGGGCAGCAGATGCATCCCCGAAAACAACATGGGATTAGAGGATTGGAGTCGAGCTCTTTGAAATTCGTATACAATCCTTTTTCACGCAGTTGCAGATTACTGTAGATGATTTCTTTCATCCTCATCACTTGATTCCAGCGATGACACATGGTGACACCCAACCCACCGAGGAACCACGTGGACTATCCATGGTGGCCTATGCAATTGCCAAGCTTGGAGAGAACAAGGAGCTGCAAACACAACTCAAGACATTAGGTAATCTATGGATATCTATGGTAATCTGTTGGCCGTTCTTTTGATTTCATGCCATGCCATGCAACAGGAATGGATACTAGCTGTCACGACAAAGTGGTTGGCCATTTTGGTTCGCAAGGTACTTTGTCAGATGGATGTTTCTGGACTATTGAAAAACTCAATGCATACTACACCAGACCTTAGGAGGTCAAGAAATTCAGACAGGAAAACAAACAGGAAGCAGACAGCCAGGAGGACAGACGCAAAGAACTGCAAGGGGAAGTGAAGATGACATTGCTTTCCAAAATTGCATTTGATGGATCTTTCCAAGAGAGGAATAGGAGGATGCAAACGCATGACAGGACAAACGCAACTGAAGTGTGAGGTTCATTTTCTGGTGGTACATTTGATGACAGTTTGTTCATGCAATCCAAGACGCAGGAAGTGATGTTGGCAGAACTGGCTCGTGTCTCCATTTTGAAGGCAGATGTGTCGCTGGTTTGCGCATTGCACAGGAACCATTTGAGGTTCCGTGAAACCCAGTTGGCCAAAATCCTTGAGATGTTGATCCTTGTTTGTGCTGCCGGCAGTGTTAACGACGCAGGGGAAATTGGATGTCTTTTTCATGATGCCATGTTAGACATGGTGTAGGTGGGGTGGCGGGGGCTAATTTCGTCCCTTGACACTTGCACACTCACGGGATACTAAGTTACTATTTGTTTACATGCATGCTACGCTGCTTGCAAGTTGATTTCATGAGTAATGATGCTACTCTTATTCGACTGCATCGATGCTACGCTGCTTGCAAGTTGACTTTAGAGTAATGAGTAATGATGCTACTGGTAAGCTTAGTCAACTGCATTGATGCTACGCTGCTTGTCATTTGACTGGCACTTACACCCACCAGGGGGGGGCAAAACACCCAGCGTCACCAACAACCGTGTTTGTTGCTGATGAAGCTTTCATCTCCTTTGAACGGCCGGAACGTTGCAATCAGGCAGCGGACTTCAGTGCGACCGACGTTGCCAAAATCTGCGCCATGGCAGCAACATTCCAACAGAGGTACACTTGTGTGGACTGATGTTCTGTGTAGAGATACGGATCGCTTGTGGAAGCGCTGTGATTGAAACAATGTACATAGAGCATTTGTCAATTTCTATCTTTACATGTGAACTTTGGAAGGTGCTACTTGTTTGTTCACTTGGAATGAAGTTAAACGCAATTCGCTTGTTTGGATGATGACCAAGTTGCTTGGTCTACACACATTTGCAATGATTACCTCTTACTTTTCAAAGAGATTTGAAAGCTTTATTCATTGCTTGTGAACTGGGCAGCTGTTTGATTTCTGGCTCGCCAATGCTGTACTCAAGAAAAGATTGGATCACGTGTTGCAGACATTTTTTTTCGCCATCGATTTCTGCAGGCTGGGCCTTTTCCAAGTTGGACTTCATCGATGGGGCATTGAACTTCTGGAAAGAGATGGCCAACGTGGTGCTGAAGCAGGCGATTTCTAGCCATGGACTCATCCATTTGATTTTTGATATTCCCATGATATTTCCACATATTTCCAATAAATGACATTAATTGTCCATTTGATATTTAGTTGAGTATCAGTGACAAAGAATTGAGTACCGCTCGATTGGTGGGGAATAATATATGCTCCAAATGCGGAGGAAGGGCCGTCGCTGTGTGCAGCGAGAGGTTGCCACGGCGCGGCATGTGGAGTTGTCAATGATGCTTGGGACTGCATACAGACACCCGTTCCCATTTCTCATACAGAGGACATGCGTTTTTTGGGACGCTTTGCAGACACGTATAAAGAGTTCATGATTCATCCTCATGCTTCCTTTCTGCACACCAAATAGAAGCTACTGTCACTCCGTGTGGAAGTAAGAAGTGCCACGGAACACCCAATTTTGTTACAGCTCTCAGAGTCTTGGGATAGCTGATTATGATTTCTTGCAGCTCCATGATGCTGAAAAATTGTTGCCAAGCCCCTAGGATCGCGTGGGCCTTTGGCACTGCGCAGCAGGGCCATCCTGCCATGTATGCAGAGATAGCAGATTGCGCCTTGCGGACGATGCAGGACCATGAAGCCAGTGATCACTGTTTTTATAAAATGGTTACAACTTTTCAAAAAACGGTTGAGAAATTGACGTTTATAACGTGGTAACACACTCGTCTCAGAATCACTGGCCCACTTACTCGTACCCAGATATCACGGTTTGGTGGTTACCAACGCGGCTAAGGCGTTACTTTGTCATTGCCATCCCTGGGATGATGACCCCTCAAGCCCAGTTCTATGCAGTTTAGTCCGGAGGAGTTGACGCCTCAATGTCTGGCTAACGTTGCGGTGGCCTTTGCCCCTTGAGCTGCAAATGCATGGCTTCTGAAAGGGTTCAGGCGGTTCAGGTCTGAAAAGGGAAGGACATCGTAATTATCCATAATTCATAAACAATCCACGTGTAATATGCCAAACACATTTTTGAAACTATAGTTCAGTTTTTTTTGATGGACGAAGTCAGGAGATCACTTGTGTTGCAGTGTTGCACCCTTCTCTCTTGCACGATTGGCTCGTTTGGCAAGGCCCGGCAGAATCTTTCATATCCAGAGCTGTTCGGAGCCATTTCCAGGCTCGGCTGGGCAGAGGTGTGTGGAGTAAGGAACCGAGAGAATAGATGGATGGTATGAACGTGTTGAACCTTGGGAGCCTCAGGCGTGCCATGACCGTGATCAAAGACTTTGCCGACTTTGATGCGACCAATCTCTGTTGGGCACAAGCGCGAGCACAGCAGGTGGATCATGATACTTGGTGGGCACAGGAGCTTACAAAAATGGGTGGACATGACTTCTTTTGGTTCAATTTATGTGAGTCACGGTCAAACAACCAACTTCACCCAGCCACTGGTCCCGGTAGAGCTTTGTACTCCAATGAGGTGCTCCCCAGTTATAAATTGGTTTATCACCTTTTCCAACTTTTCTTTTTTTCAATCATAAAACACCATAAACTCCAGTTACTGTGGTTATAAATTGCAAAAGTGAACCAATTTACCAATCTCCGGTACCCCACACTGTAGACCTGTGTAGACAGCAGGGTTGGTTGCATGACACCTACCACAGCTAAGGAACTCTTTCATCAGCTAGCGACACACACGGTCTTAGCCTCAGATGGCAGGGGTGCACCGTTGAGGAGCACATACACACCAGATGAATATATGGATTGTCTGAAGCATAGGAAGCTCAAAATCCCATGGTGAAACATGATTTTCCATTACAAAGGTTGTAGAATGATGTAAGCCCCATTTTGTGACGCACCCATATATATATATGTATTATATCATATTGCTGATTGGCTTTGTATCGTGTTATACTACCCGTTGGTATCCCCATTCCATCCACATTTATTGTTTCCCCATTTATATCATATGGTCGGTTTTCCCATTGTATGTGTATAAATATGTATAAATATCATAGGGCGCGCTTTCATTGCGAAACTGAGTCTCTAATGACGAAAGACATATTCTAATGACGCAAACCCCCAAAGCATTTGGCTCAGTAGGGAATCAGAATTTAGATGATCAGCGTGCTTACTACATGTGCAATGTATACATATATTCATTCAACATTGCAAACCATTTAATATATTGGGTACCAGCAAGAAGGCAACCCATATATATATATATAATTTTATATATATACACAATTATATATACATTACATCTCACTATTTGCCTTCTACATCCCCTTCAAGTACCCATTGAAATTGAACATTTTCCACAAAATACCAAGAACACATCTCCATTATTGTTGGCTTCCCATTGTATCCCCAATATTTCCCAATGTAATATTCCCAATGCATCCCAATGCATGTTTCATTGATATCCCATATTGTTGGTATCCCATTTTGTATACATATACCCAAATTATTGTTGGTTAATATCGTATATCCACGTTTATTGGTGCTTCTGTTATATACCACTTTTATTGACGGTAACTTCCCAGATTATGATTAATATCTAAATCCGAAATAATGATCAATATCCTTTTCTTTGGTTGTTAAATCCCAGTTATCCAACTATGTTCCCATCAAATGTCCCCATCTCTGCTTGGTTTTATACCATTTTTTGTTGGTTAATCCCCATTTATTGATGGAAAACTACAAGTTATTGAATAGTAAACTACATTTCTTCATGCGTTAATGGTAGAACCCCAAAGTTATACACCATTGTTGATGGTATTCACCATTTTCATCTAGCGTTTATGGTCCATTTATTGTTGGTAAAGCACCAGTAATCTCCCCATTCTTTGTTCAGCCAACTGCCAGGTGGCTTCACGCTACGTGAAGCGCTACAGTGCGGAGATGGCGGCGCAGATGTGCTGGGCCTTTGCTGTGGCCAAGGCGACACGCGATGTGGGATACACAGTGGATCATACCACGATGTATGTTTATATAACTATGATATATATATACACGTATATGTACATAGATAGATAGATAGATAGATAGATAGATAGATAGGTAGATAGATAGATAGATAGATAGATATAAATAGATAAACAGATGTATAGATGTATAGATATATAGAATATATATATATATATATGTAAAGATATATATATATGGATGTACGGCCCCGTTTCTAAAGATGAACGTGGTTTTAGCCTGATTCATCTGTAGTTTCGGCTTAAGGGCGGTATATAACCAGGTGAGTCTTTATATATAGATATAGAATGATATAGATAGACAGAGATAAAGACACACATATATATATATATGTATATGTATATATGTATATATGTATAGATATGTAAAAGAGTGACCATACACTTTTGATTGTTATCATTAATTATCATAATCCCCAAGACATGCATATACATTACACATATTTGTATATACATATATACAGATGTAAGAAATGCAAAGAAATGTCAGAGGACGATGGGGTCGGACCTGGCCATGTGATACCCATGGCCGCCATGGCCGCCATCACCGAAGCAGCGATCCGAAGGTTCAACACGAAGGGCTCTTCAGCGAGCTGACGGAGAGGGGGCTTGGGCAAAATGGGATGGTTTCCTACCAGGGATCAAGATTTGTGGGTCAGAAAGGCCTGGGAAATACTTGACCAATACTGCCAATACTTGATGCTTTCCACTGCTTTTTTGGAGGACTTCATCGCGAGACATGCCAGTGTTTTCGAGGCCACAATCGGTAGCTGTACACTTGTATGCCCATGCAAAGATTGATGACTTGGGAATCATTCCACCAGTATGACTAGCAGCTAGCAGCATCATAGTACAGGGGGACTCCTGGCAAAGTTCTTATTCCGCATTTGTTTAAACTATTTTTGATTCTCCCCATTCCCAATCCTTCCCCAAGTCACTTCCCCCCATACCGAGGGGGATTGGACCAGGTGCAGTACGTGGCGAACTGTGCCTGGTCCTATGCTTCCCTGGGCGTTCGGGATAATGCTGCCTGGCAGGCTTTGGCAAGAGATTCTTGGCATTCGGAGCTTAAAAAAAGGGGGCCTTTACCCTAAGAAATTGGGGCCATACATGGATATACTGTGTATGTATCTGCATATATATATATATATCATATGTGTATGCGTGACATAACTAGAATAAATGGGGATACCGTATCACCACAATTTACTGTGGATATATCCATATGGATTGGGGATATAAGCAGAATAAACGGGGAGAAATCATCATTTTTAGGGAACATGAGGATACAACCATCAATGATGTTACTCCCATCCCCAATGGTACCTTTGCGATGCGATCCCCAACTGGCCGATGATTGTGCCTCTTTCTCTGGTCTTTTGAGTGCAGGGATTCTGCTGTTCTGCTGGAGTTTGTCCTAAAATGATCTCAACCCAAATCCAGTATAGTTGAGATTCTAATTTTCCCGCTTCAAAGAACGAATTTTAGGGGTTTATTTGTACCCCATTTTCGGACCGCACCATTTTTTTTCCTCGCCAGGAATGTAAGGGTGGCCGGCTCTGGCGATACCCTGAAGACCAACTGAGTGCCGTTTGCTGGGCCTTTGCGCGAATCCGCTGGCACGATGCAGAACTCTTTCAGGCAACTTCAGATGAAACCGTACATCAATGGGATATCCCCTTACATAGGCCTTAAAAAGGGCCTTATCTATGGTGGGTACCTCCAATTTAGGTTCCTGAAATGGCCATTGAGTACATAACATTTGGCGTTTGAAACCTCTGAATCTGTGTGATTTTTTTGAGATACCTTTTGAGTAGACCTGGATGGGCTGATTTGAAGTTGGTTTTCAAGCAACTGTCTGACTTTGTTATTCGGTTTCTTCTTTTTGGTGTTGGCTACACTTAAGACGCTTGGGTCCAGAGATTGTGCATGTGCAGACTCCGTGTATTCTGAACCCCATCAGGCACCCCAGTGCCCCGTGCAACCCGTGCATTGGAGCAGGACATGCTCCAAGTTGCGTCGCACAGACTTCCAGAGTTTCAACCTCAAAGCCTCATCAACTTCCTCTCCGCCGTGATTGTTCTGTGGGAAGAGGATTGGCTTAGCAACTCTGCCAAGAATGCCAAGAAGTTGCCGATACCAATGACCAATGCCATTCACCATTCTATTGCACATTCCGCAAGAATCAACACTCAATGCTTGCCATACCAAAGCTGCACAGCAAGGTTTGCTGAGTGTTAGCCGCTCATTGGGTGCCACTCGGGTGGACATATTATCCAACATGGGATGCCACAATCCAAAAATCCAATGGCCTATCCTTTAAGGATTTTTAAGGATTTTATAGGATTTTAAAGGAATTTATTATCCAACATGGGAAAGAGAAACTACACGCAGACAAGCCGCGAAAAACGAACCACGAAGCAGTACAAGCACGAAACCGCAAGAACGGAGCCAAAAGGGAAAGTACAGGCAGACAAGCCGCGGAAAACGAACCACGAAGCACCTACAACCACGAAACCGCAGGAACGGAGCTAAAAGAGAAAGTATAGACAGACAATCGTCAAAAAACGAACCACGAAGCAGGTACAAGCATGAAACCGCAAGAACGGGGCCAAAACAGAAAGTACAGGATCCAATGGCCTATCAGTTTTTATCATATACTCATTTCCCCATATTTTCCCTTCTGAATTTGTCAGAAATGGGTGATAAAAACGATGAGGCACAGGCAGCTTCGAAGACCTCCACGAGATCGAAGCCCGCGAAGATCTCAAGGACTCTCCTGTCATCGGGGACGCAGTTGGATGCAGTTGAGGCGATTGAGGAGAATCCCTTCCCCCCTGATATTTTTAGATACCCCCCAAATGAAACCGTGGTTTAGAACTGGATCTATACATGTTGGGGTCCAAAAAATGGGGGGAAATTGTGTTGGCAATTTTTGGGGATGAGATTCTAAAAAAACCCGGCTGTTGGCACCTCTATGACTTCAGGAGATTTTGGAAGGACTGGTAGAGAGCATCTTGTTTGCAATGCGATGATTGAAACTCCTTGTACTTCAAATAACAGCAGCTCAGGCCTTTAAAAACAAGCCTGCGCGGTAGATGGAAAAGAACTTGAATGATGACCTCCATAATATTCTGGTTCACCCAAAACAAACAAGTTCATCTCTATTTTGAGCATAAATTACTTTTGTACTATATAAATATCAATGAATATGTTAATCAATCTATGTTAATCTTGTCCTTGCTGGTCAGGAAATACTAGTTGTACGACCACTACTGACCATATCCACCAAATCTAAGAAACAACTGCTCCTATGGGGTGAAGTGCTAGTGGATGTTGCACTTTCATCGTTGAATCAACCTGAAACCCCAGGTGTGCTGGCAGAGCTAAAATCGTCGGACAAGAAACTCCAAGTAGAGGATTGTCCCGGGAATTGGGAAGGGCAGGGGCAATGCGATGTTGGCAACTCCTTGTTCCAGGATTTGTTGAGTCAGTGCCCCTAAATAGTACTGCAATTTTTAGGAATTTGGAGCATTCCAACCTCTCTAGAAAGGATGGTGATGTCGGGCACCCGCTAGGAGCTGGCCATGGTTGAGCACCTCTTGGACCGAACGCAGGAGTGGAGAGGTGGTGGCCTTTGATCAGGTCTTTTTGTTGGGGGCGGATATCCTTCACATTGATGGCACGGACATTCTCCTGGACTTTGGGAACTACCTTTGTTTGTTGCCATGAGAGAACTGAAACAAAAAAGAGTTCCCGAGGTAAGGTTTCAACAAGAGAAGGACGTCAAAATGCAGCCAAAGTCAACCTTGCTGCTGAAGACCCGTGCCGTGCATGCACTTACGAAGACATTTCATCTGCCATCTTTCTTGACTTGGATCTATTTGTGCCGCCCGGACAATGTCACTGACCAATACCTGTCAGGTTTTTCGAGCCACCTTTGGAAGACATCCCCATCCAGAATGTTCCAGTTCTTGTGAACCAAATTTTCAATCCGGTTTCGAGATCATCGACGAGGTTGGAACCTGACGACCTGTCGGCCGCAGAGGCGCCCACGAAAGATCCATCCTGAGATGATGATTATCTCCGAGGACTATCGAGGACTGATATTCTTGGGGTTGAAACCTTGCACCGACAATCCTAGAATTGAATTACTGTGAGGTGAAACCCAAATTTGGGATTAAAAAAACATAGTTTCCTGTACATTTGAGGTCATGAAACCAGTTTCTTTGGAATCTTGGCATCAAAGAGTCCTTGGAGTCCTTGTTTGGACAGGCGCCGTTTCGCGAGACTTCGGCGACACACTGTGACTGGTTAGTGGAAGGGTGCCACCAAAGCAGGCAGTGCTCTTATCATACCTTGTGATATACCTATATAATACATATATATATAATATACAATATACACAAACATAACACACATATTAATTATTATAGATACGTAGCTCAACTGTCTGATAGGAGGGCTAGTGTGAGTACGACTTTGAGGGTTCGATGGTGGGTTGGGATGTTGGGATGTTGGTACATTTTAGTACCCTTAAGTGTTAGAATTGGATAATTGTGGTGTGATTTCTTCCTGGGTTTACCACTCAGGTTGTATATGGTACCGTTCCGAAAGCCTAGGTAGAAGCTCAGTCACTGCCACGGCACCAGTCGCAGAGTCCTTGCCCGAGGTGTCTTGGCGACGCAGCATCGGTTTGTTTGTAGATTGGACATTCAATATATGGCCATTCCAATGGGGAAAATTACGTATGAACCACTGGATTTAGGGGTTCATATGGGTTCATTCTTTTCCGGCAAATCCCTATCAGAATGCATCAGAATCTAAGGGTCACAACATTAATTGAGAAGTGAATTTACCAATTTACCACTCATTTCAGGCTAAACCACCTGAGGTAGTTTGATGGGTTACTGAGACATACCACCATTTCCCCTGATATCTGTGGCTAGCTAGGGCAGGTGGGGTTTTGTTTATTCACCAGGCATCGTTGGGGTTTCCTTAAAAAACCTGACCCCCAAATTCGTCCAGCGAAATGACCTATCTCGTAACACGGGATTACCGTGGAACCATTGCAAGGGTATCCCGGTATCCCCTGACAGCCAAGGTTGATGCAATCCCTGATTTTCGCCAAATGTCGTTTGCAGATTGGCTAGTTGCTCGCCAGGATGACAAAACCCGACATACCCTCTGGTAATTTAACATAGGTTGAACATGACCATTTATAGTGGATTTTCCCATTAAAAATGGTGATTTTCCATTGTTATGTTAGTTTACCAGAGGGTAATGCCTTCCGTCTTTGGTTTTCATGCAAAAGAGCAATGTTTTCGCTTGGCAGCTCAGTGACATGTTTTTTTGCCTTGGAAATGGGCAGTGTTTCTTTTTGCCCAGACAAGCATCGATCCTTGTGGCGACATGCTATGCTATCAGCCTGCCCTCGAGGAGTGTCACCTGGCGGAAATGGACCATATTTGGCGATGGCTTAAACTTGGCAGCTGCCACATCTGTCACATATATGGTTCACAGTCACACGATTCCTGACATTTTGATCACAGAAGCCATGTCGCTCCAAGTTGGCTGACTGGATGATTTGACAGGTAAAACGTTGAACATGGATGTCCGACGCTTTTCTGAAAGCAGGTTTCCAGTTTCCATCTAAGGCTATGATACTGTAGCACAAGTTGTGCAGACCTACACTTTGCTGGCATCTCGACAGGGTTACTGTCTCATTTGATGTCCCCGGCTGGCTTGGCCTGAAGATTGACTGGGTTTGTTCAACAAAATACGGCACCAACTTATGGTCATTTAGTTTTTTTTTCGAATACCTGAATGATCAACCAACAAAATTTTGGGTACCTAATTTCTAGACAAATCCACTTTACAGATCTTTACAGTTTTTACATATTCGGATCACATTGGTGAAATGACGCGAGGCTGCCGGCCCTCCCAGGACAAAGATTCCAATGGCAAAACGCTGGATCCGCTTCTCTTCACTGATTTGGGTATCTCTGAAGTACACAGGCCGTGAAACCAATGATAACTGCTGATAACTTATTATGTCACTTGCGTTTCTGTTTGTTGTTTGTGGAATGTCAGGAAGTCCTGTGGACTTGCCCGTCTCCTGAGCTTGCATCATGAGTCATGATGGCATGATCTTACGTGCCAAGAATTGGTTTGAAACTACTTTCCAAATGTTTGCAGGTCGCTCTTCACAAAGTGGTTCGCGCGCTGTGGGGTGCAGGAACCCTGGAAAGCAGAGAGTCCTTCCAAACATCTTCGATACAGTGGCTTCATCCAATCTTCCAAAAACCTCAGACTTCGTTCAATTCCACCCGCATAGTCTAGATGGGTACTTCTTCGCACAACCACCCAGATGCGCCCAAATCATATTTTCTCAACTTTGCCAACAGACCAATCAACCAGTTCCAAGGTTCAGGGTCAAGGTATTTAGGGTTTTTGGTTTCGAAGAAGTTGCAAAAGCACTGGCTACATGTTGTGATTTTGGCTTTAGGCCTGTAGGGTCCAAAACAAAATAGGGTTTTAAACTTTTATTTATGACGGACAGTAAGCTTTTAGGGTTTAGGCTTAGCTTTTTAGGATCTAAGTTTTTGTTTGTCTGTAGAGTTGGTGATGCGCACAGCTCTTCCTGTGCTTGTCAGCTCAAATTCAACTTTACTATGCTAGACCCTGAGGTTTTTGATTGCCTGTACTTGTTGGTCAAATACTATCCAAACCTTGGTTGAAATAGTAAAGACTACACTGACCTCAGGCAATCTCTAAGTCAGAGCAGCAACTCAGGATGCTCAAGATGCAAAATCTCGCCCAAACCTCTTCATCTTTCAGTGTTGGTCACTTCATCATCAGAGACCTAGTACTCAAGTAGTATCAAACCCATCGTCCACTTTGCACAGGAACCGCAAGAGTGAGAAAATAAGTCACGCGATTCATGCGATGAAGTTTTGGATGTGTGAGCCTGCAGTGCCTGGGAAAAAAGGGGTCCTTGTGCTACCTGGCAACATCCCACGCATTTGGATATGGGTCAAATTTTAGGGTTCAAAGGACAACGAATTCCGGGCAATTCTTGATTCAAACCATCCCAGGCGGAATATCCGTGACCCATAGCCATTTTGGGGTTCCTGAAGTGGGGTACATCCAAAATCATTCACATTTATTGGTCATTTTTAGTGGGGTCAAACACTTATGGTTTTTAGGGTATCTCAGTTTCAAGAAACCCAAGAGTCAGAGAAATCCCCATTTGCGAATTGCGAACTGCTGGTTTCATGTAAGTGTGGATGGTCCTGCCACCTTCCTGCTTCATAGGACACCGTATGGATCGTGGCGGGAAGTCGTACGTGTAGTGGCAATGAGGTCGAATGGTGAGCCCGGCAAAGTTTACACCCACAGATGGCGAGTTCAACACCTTGCGCTTGTTATAATCCCCGCATTGGATGATGGGGAAAGAAACATCAGGGCTAGCTGGGCACTGCTTCACTGAAAGATGTTTTCTAGATGCACACATTACCTTGATTGCATAACTTGAGGCTGTCCCCTCCAAAATGTGGCAACATTTGGCAACTATTACGGTGATGTTTGCGATGATACTCGTACCAAACTCTATTTTCAGGACAAAACATGTGAACCTAATGGACTGTCATTGCTATGCTATGCTGCGTGACCACTGAGTATGGGAGTACCTGTCAAAGTTACAATTCTTGGACTGCAGACTACACAGCCTCAGGGATGAGTGCCAAGATTCTTTGCCGGCATGCGGCCACTGTGCTCCACAAGATTGCCAGCTGGATACTTATGATATGCAGATGCAAAGGCAGTTAAAGAAAGGAGAGGATCTTTCAGACTTACATAGAAGGCAAGATCACATCCTGAAAGAAGCCATTTGTATGAAAAGCTTCAGTAGATGAGTGCGATCACTTTCGAAACTGTGTTTCCTGACATTCTACAGAGGACTGGTGACTGAGGTTTGCTCAATGGGGTCAGTGGTATGATGCTGGACGGCCACGTCTTCCACCAGTAGGTTGGATAGGGAGCGATGGTATGCAATAATAGGCTTCGGAGAGAGTTCAACAGTTTGGTTCAAACATGGAAGTTATTTGATTTCTTTCCATAGCTTCTTTTCTTGTATTTTTAAAGAGCATATTGCATATTGGATACTTTTCTCTGAAACTTTGCGAGCCGGTTTCTCAATGGCAGCTTGTCACTTGGTCAGAAACCGGCTTGCTTTAGATTTTGCTGAACTCCAAAGAAGAGGCTCAGCACAGTCCTTTGAATGAGACGATGCAGGTCAACGTGGAAGTTTCTTGGCAACCCTTGTACAGGAACCCTACATAAACAGATTGACAGGTCTTCCACAGCCCCAGAGCAATTATTGCATATTATTGCCAAAGAACTGCCAACACTTGATTGTTTTGACTTCAGTTGACTTGCTCTGTCTGGTGCGATGTTTTCCTAAAGAGTGCACGCCTTGAAGCGTGGCTTTTTCGCAGCCTGCGGAGCTCGTTGTTTTGGGTAGAGGTCAGTTCAAAGTGGATGACTGGCCAAGGTGTAACAGGGACAAATCTTCGCAAGCCCTGCTGTGTTCAGGGCGCAGGGTTAATAACCATTAAAAACGGGGCTAGTCATCCAATGGTTCATAGGGATTTATAATAACCATGGAATAAGGATCCTTATTATGGATGGGATGACCATCAACCATATAGTGAGTATTGACCATGGCTCATATACTAGCAAGATTTATCATTAGTGACGAAAGCCATTCATTGAGATGATAGCAGCTTAGCACCTTTCTGCACCTTTAAGCTTGAAGGAAATCTTATGTGCACTGTGATGCTTTCTTGTCTGTCCGTGCAGGCATTTGCCGTTGAAACCTGAAGCAAAGCCACTGCCAGAGAATCATGAGCAATGAACAGTCCAAATGCGGTTCTGGGAGGACTCAATGCTAGTGCTGCAGCATCCCGCACCCATTTGTCCGGAGGAAGCCGGCAGCTGTGTCTCGTCAGATCTCTTCAGCAGCCATGGTGGTGGGCTGATGTGGTCCCATGTGTCAGAGGTGCGACCAATCTTGGGAGTGACTTGATGACAGCTTCTGATCAAAGTACAACCTTTTTTGATCTTTTTTGAATGCCATTGACATCTGGTTAACATATATTAACATAGCATTCTACTAATCTGGTCTGGGAATCTGTTGGTAACACACAATTCTTCGTTACTTAATTGTCAGGAATGGCCCGCCGGGCTCCAGGTGCCGCTGGAGGTGCGTTGGGTGCCAAAGGTGCCCCCCTTGGAACGGGACTTTGAGGCCGTCCCAACGGAATAATTTTCATAGACACTGATATTAATATATATATATAATATATAAATATGTATATGACATGATATATCCATCATAGACCGATATATATATAATCATCAATCTTGTTGGTGAAAGTTTAATTTTGGGATGTTCAATTCCAAAACCCAATCTTCGGGGATGTTTTGGGATGTTTTGAGACCATTCTGGTGTGTGTGAGAATCAGCCTTTTCCTCCCCACCTGGTAAATATGTTGATAGAATTTATTGTAACCACCAAGTCAGAAACACTTCGCCCGTCATATGTATATATATATATATGAATTATATATATATACACAAATTCTATATCCCCATGACATCCATATATCCCAATGCTCTCCCCATTTTTACGGGGTGTCCACGGTTTATGCCATTCTTGGGTCGCACAGGCAGTCTCAGCAGTCCCTTCAATTGGCGCTTGCTGGTTCTGGTCTCTAGTGCCTTCCTGGTGCTGTGGATCTGACATGTCTTTCGCTGTTTTGAGCCTGAAGATGGCCCAGAATTCAACTTTTTGTTTTTCCCAGAGAAAGACAGTTTTGTTTTTTGGAAGGGGAAACATGTTTTGTCTTGCTTTGTTTTTTTTAGTGTGAAAAACTTGTTATTTTGAAGGAACCATGCATATAAGATGGATAAGGATCAAGAACAGTACGCACGTATCAACCCAATTCTTGGATGGGTTGCTGTGGATCGGATCGGATATATAAATATGGATAAAAACATCTACCGGTACGAAAATGCAGTTATCATCCCAAAGATGGTAAGGTGGGCTGGTTTTAGAGTGAACAAATCCATCATGTTTTGGTTCAACGTTGCAAGGCAACTGAACGGGGTTTATACTAATAAGATAAAGACGTATCGCCATTTATTCTTGGTATGACAACTTATGCATCCTTTCATAGATATGTATATGATATGTATATGAATAATGAATATGGCCCAGGCACCTTGTACGCCAAGTCCATACGAGTCAGCACATGTCAGGATCTTCACCTGCAGCCAGCTGGTGATTTTGGGGTGCGACCTGCCGCTGGGCATGGTGTTTGTTGAAGCACGAGCATGGCATTTCATCGAAATTGGTGGAGGATGACTGGGATGACTCAACATGGCTGGAAGACGACAGACTTTGCAGCTTAGCCTCTGGTAATTTATACAAAAAGCTATTGAAAATGGCCATTTATAGTGAGTTTTCCCATTAAAAATGGTGATTTTCCATAGCTATGTTAAATTACCAGAGGGTAAATGATTTGCAGAGTGGATTTCTGGTTTGAAGACTTTTGGTGACATGCCCTGCCTGTGATTTTGCTACAGTGAGATGTGGAGACTGCGCCTTTCAGATCCTGGTTTGGCCAACAAGCTGCCTGTTGGAAATATGGTCGCCAGTCTCAATTTGATCAGCTAAAACCCCAAAAAGTTTTGTTGGTTGGGGGTGACCTGTGACCATTTACTGTATAGCAATGTTTGTTGATTGTCATGTTTGTTGACCAATTGGCTTCGATGATTTGCTGCAGTTGCACTCCTCAATGCCAGGAACGATTGCCGCTTGGAAAGGGAACGCGCTGTGCATGCAGAGGACAACGTGATGCAATCTCCTGGACACGATTCCACACAGGGTCATAGTAACAGTCATCAAACATCATGACTATAAACAAATGCGAAAATCACTTGAGATCCTTTGTTGCAGAAGCCAGGATTGTTCCAAGAAACAACTCTGCCAATTGCCTGAGCTTTCACGGTACTGGTATGTTTTTCAACAGGACATGCCATCACAGTCTCATTACAAATTACACGCCATGAACAACAGTGTTTCGTGAGACTCAACAAGGGAGAGGATGCAGTAGGATTTGGTGCTTTCCAATATAAATCCATGTCATAATTGGAGAGGTTTTCCTGGCCTCCCTCAGTCCAAGACACAATCTGGCAATCTACTGTAGTGATGCTTCATGCTGCATGGCTGCATGCACCATTTTCCATATACAATTGAGATTTCTTATTTGG